GCTCCAGCTGACTAAGCCAGTTGCCTTCAAGTCAACTCTGGCTCATGGCGGTCCCATGTGTGGACAGAACGGTACCCCACAGGGCTTTCAATGGCTAATTTTCAAAAGCAGATCAACAGGTCTGCCTTCCTATCAATAACTATGAGATTTCTATGCTATGTCTTAAATAACACTGTGACAGACTCAAGGATGAAGGCCCTTATTGTGGTTGTGGGTATTTAGTTCCTAATGTTATACAGACTTCAACTGCTCCCAAAATCAATTTTAAGAAGTCAAACAAGCAAACTAACCCTGTGTTCACCAAAATTCTAAATATCAAAAAACATTCACATGTGGGAAAAAACCTCCACTTTATCAAGTATTAGCCTGTATTTTTACAAAAATTCATAAAATTTCAATGTCCTCTACTGACATAGATGGTTATTAGAAGTTATTAAATTTATTTAGCATTTTATGATGAGTCTTTAACAAGAAATGGCCGCATCAGGTAAGGGAAACTCAGAACATATGCGCAACGTCCCCAGTTCCGTCTGACCATATTCCTAAGCCTTTAGGAGCCATAATGTATTTATCACAATTCACAGCAGAAGCCCTGCCAGCAGCCCTATTGCATTACAGAAGTAGGAAAAATAAGCACGTCAAAAATAATAAAAATAAAACAGAATGAACATATCAAATGGGGGCACATTCGGGCACATATGTGTTTGTGAGGCATGGGAACATTATTCTTTCATTAGCATTTCATCTGAGTACCCCACCATCATGGGATGACATGGTATGAAAAACAGTGGTGACAATCCCATACAGGACACTTCTGATTTAACCAATCAAATGATCTTTAAAGACTCATTATTTTAGATAAAGGAAATTGGGCCTCTGCAGGGTTATGCACTTGGCCCCAAATCATACAGCTGAGCCAGGACCAGGGTACTGACTGCCCAACCACCAGTCCTATGTTCCTTTTATCAATAAACCAAAATCAAACCCACTGCCATCTAGTCAATTCCAACGCACCATGACCACATGTGTTTCAGGGCAGATCTGCACTTTGTAGAGCTCTCAGGGGCTGTAATCTTAGAGAAGCAGATCACCAGGTCTTTCTGCCGCAGCAGCAGTGAGTGGATTCAAACAGCCAACCTTTCAGTGACTGCCAAAATAATCCCGGAAGAGTGTGTGACAATGGAGCAGTAGAGAGAATAACGGCTCCCCCAAGACATCCACATCCTGTTCCCAGAAGCTGCGAATATGTTATCCAGCATGGCAAACGGATGTGAGATGAGGAGATGACCATGGATTGTCAGGGTAAATCCTTGAATCCCAGGGTCCTTGTAAGAGGGAGGCAGGACAAACAAAGACGGGCATGTGAGGTGAACATTTACATTAGGTAGATAGACTCCTTGGAGAGATCAATCATGGGAGAATAGAAGGGCTGTGTATGCACAGGGAGACAGCTCAGGGGGCAGGAGTGCACGGAGGGAAGGACACAGGGAAGAGGTAACTATGGGGAGGAAGTGGGAGGAGAGCTGTTGCATTGTGGGAAATTGCAGTCAATGTCAAGACAAAGTGTATGTGAGCTGCTGTATGGACAGTGAATTTGCTCTGTAAACTTTCACCAAAATCACAATTTTAAATTTTAAATAAAAATAAAATTAAAAAAAGGGAGGCAGGAGGATCACGGTCAGAAAGTAGGTGGTATAGTGACAGAAGCCAAAGTCAGAGTGACCCAAGGGTGGGGTCACAAGCTGAAGAACGTGGTCAGTCTCTAGACACTGCAAAGACAAGGCTCCCAGGATCCCCCGGAAAGAGCAAAGCCCTGCCACACCTTGATTTTGGACTCTTTCCACCAGAACTCTCAGACAACAAACTTGAGTTGTTTTAAGCCAATGGGGGAGGCAGTCTGGAAGTTAAGACTCAGGGTCCCCGGGTTGCCGTCAGCCCACCATCCACCACGAGCAAGTCACAGACTCCTCCACAGGACCCTACTGCTGCATCTATTAAATGGGTCGTTTGACTACAGGGTTTTTCTAACATGAGAGCGTCCAACAGAAATGGAGCAGAGGCACAGGAAGATGAAGCAACTGTCGTGTGTTATTCAATTTTTCATTTTGCCTTCTGGATGGAAACATGTTGGAGGGATGGTGAAGATAAGAATATAAAAAGAAACATATCAAAGAGTCTTTTCTCAAATTCCAATTGAACTGATAGACACAACTCAAAGAGGTGTCTTTGAGGGACCAAAGTTTAATATCGTTCTTCAGTATAAAATATCACGGTGTGCCTTATCCACAACTAACCACCAGCTGTCTTATCTCAGTCTAGTCCAAAGGTCTCAGTGCCCAAAATGTGCGGGCCATTTAGGAAGTATGCTGTCTGGCCCGAGCCTTTACCGCCTCTTGTGGAAATGAAAGCAGCAGCTCTGATCCATTCACCTGTGTCAACGCTCTTCTCTTCCCCCTGCCATTGGTGTTACCTTCCTGAAATCTCACTTAAAGACATGGCACCATTCCCCACGGCTTTCTGAGTAATGGCGGAATTCCCCAGAACAACGGTAGGCGCCCTGCAGAATCTGCCTTCAACTTACCTTTCCAGCGTCCTCTCAGCCCAGCCCCCCAGCAGCCCTCCTTTTCCTCCCAGATCTTGCCCCACAGTGCTCTGCTGGGAATGCTTTTCTTCCCTCTACTCTGGAAAACCCCACTTTGCTCACCTTTAATTCTCCTTCTTTCCGATAGAATTCGGACTTTCTACCCTACCACCACCACCACACATGGGTACACACGTACCTGAATCAACTGCTCGTGAGCTTTCCTACAAGCTCTGAGGCCATACGACCTGGTAGAGCTGCTCGTCTGTATGTCTGTCTCTCCCACCAGACCACAAACTCCCTTGGGAACATAACATCACTGGATTTCCCAAAGCAGCAAAAGCGAAGCCTTGCAGGTATTCAATAAAAAGTCCCAGAATTTACCCAAATCACAAAGTCACCCTTCTCATGAGCTTCCAACAGAGTGGAAGCAAAAGCTGGATCATTTGTTCCTCCTCAGAGGGAGCTCGCCCAAACCAGACACCCAGGAGCCCAAGGCTCACTCCATCAATAAGGAGAGAGACACGCCCGCCAGCCCAGCTTTGCTCTGGGCCTTTTCTGCCCAACGTGGAACTAACATCATGCGCAGGTTCAGAGCCAAGGTGCAACATCGAAGGTGTGGCCTTTCGCGCCCACCCGGTCTCAAGATAGCTCAGCCCAGCCTTTTCCTCAATCCCGCACACTGCCTCTCTGAAACACGACTTTCTGATTTCAAGTAGCAATTAAAATGTTCATTAATTCTTCTAAAAAGTCAATTTGTAAAAGTTAATTGCTATTTGGGACTCCATTGTCTCCGTCTTGGAATCAGTTTGAAAAGATCAAGTTTGACAGTACGCACCGTCTCGGGGCTGGAA